TTCACTCCCTGCATTACTCTTCACTCCCTGCATTACTCTTCACTCCCGTCATTACTCTTCACTCCCGGCATTACTCTTCACTCCCTGCATTACTCTTCATGCCCTGCGTCACTCTTCACTTCCCCCATCATTCTTCACGCTCAGCATTACTTACTCTTACTCTTCACAACTGGCGTTACTCTTCACTCCTTGTGTTACTCTTCACGTCTGACATTACTCTTCATGCCCGGCGTTACTCTTCACTCCCTGTGTCACTCTTCATGCCTGGCGTCACTCTTCACTCCCCCCGTCACTCTTCACATCCGGCGTTACTCTTTACGCCCAGTGCTACTTACTTTTACTCTTCAAGCCCAGTGGTACTGTTCTCTTCATGCCCTGCGTCACTCTTCACTCCCAGCGTCACTCCTCACACCTGGCGTTCTTTATTTCAGCACACTGTTCTTCTTTATGCAGGATGTTCTTGCTCCTAATTTTTCCAGAAAATTTCAAATGTTATAAAAGTCCTGCACAACTCACTTAATCCAGCACTTTTTAAAAAATGTAACTTTAATTAGTCAAAATTTTCCTGTGACTTGTTAAAATGAGTTTGCGATTCATGTCTTCAAACTTTTTAAAGGCTTAAAAAAAATGTTTTTTAAACTGTTTTTGTTGTCCTTTACTTACTTTCAGTTCAGTATTTTACCAATTTAAACATTTAGTTTAAACCACTTACAGTGCCTATAAAATGTATTCATCCCCTTGGATGTTTTAATAATAAATTCATCACAGTCAATATGAATGAGTCATTTTTTACAACGAGGCAAATTCAAAAACACTTACTCGATGTTCAGAACAGTTCTTGATGTTGGACGGGCTGCTGAGGACTTGAACTTAGCCTTCCACTCTAATTGACAATTATTCAGTTTTCTTCTACAGCATCATCCTCTTCGCTGCTCTCCCATAAAGCTCAGAACGGTAAAGAACTCAGGCAACAATTGTATCCACTTATTTATTTATTAAATACTTTTTATTGAATTGGATTATAAAAAAGACCAATTTAAAGTGACTATGACAGATTTAAGACAGCAACAAAAGCATAAAACATCCAAGAGGGTGAATAGTTTATATAGACACTCTGACCTTTGAATCACAAAGAATCAGAGTTGTGTTAGCACAAAACAGACGACTGGGAAAAGAGCCAGTTTTAAATTGGATCCTTACACTTTGTTAAATTGTACGAGTTGCAGTAGCTCAGTCGTCAGCTCTCATAATCCTGAGGCTGCAGGTTTGCATCAAGGTTGTAACAAAGTTTGACATACAGAATGAGTACAGTGTGTGTATATACTGTATGTATATGTGTATATATGTATGTGTGTGCATGTATGTATATATACATATATACCGGATTCCAAAAAAGTTGGGACACTAAACAAATTGTGAATAAAAACTGAATGCAATGATGTGGAGGTGCCAACATCTAATATTTTATTCAGAATAGAACACAAATCACAGATCAAAAGTTTAAACTGAGAGAATGTATCATTTTAAGGGAAAAATCTGTTGTTTCCAAATTTCACGGCGTCAACAAATCCCCAAAAAGTTGGGACAAGTCCATTTTTACCACTGTGTGGCATCCCCCCTTCTTCTTACAACACTCAACAGACGTCTGGGGACAGAGGAGACCAGTTTCTCAAGTTTAGAAATAGGAATGCTCTCCCATTCATGTCTAATACAGGCCTCTAACTGTTCAATTGTCTTGGGCCTTCTCTGTCGCACCTTCATCTTTATGATGCGCCAAATGTTCTCTATAGGTGAAAGATCTGGACTGCAGGCTGGCCATTTCAGTACCCGGATCCTTCTCCTACGTAGCCATGATGTTGTGATTGCTGCAGAATGTGGTCTGGCATTATCGTGTTGAAAAATGCAGGGTCTTCCCTGAAAGAGATGACGTCTGTTCTAGAACCTGAACATAGTTCTCTGCATTAATGGTGCCTTTCCAGACATGCAAGCTGCCCATGCCACAAGCGCTCATGCAACCCCATACCATCAGTGATGCAGGCTTCTGAACGGAGCGTTGATAACGACTTGGGCTATCCTAGTCCTCTCTGGTCCGGATGACATGGCGTCCCAGTGTTCCATAAAGAACTTCAAATCGTGACTCATCTGACCACAAACAGTCTTCCATTTTGCCACACTCCATTTTAAATGACCCCTGGCCCAGTGCAAACGTCTGAGCTTGTGGAGCTTGCTTAGAAATGGCTTCCTCTTTGCACTGTAGAGTTTCAGCTGGCAACAGCGGATGGCACGGTGGATTGTGTTTACTGACAATGCTTTCTGGAAGTATTCCTGAGCCCATTCTGTTATTTCCTTGACAGTGGCATTCCTGTTTGAGGTGCAGTGATGTTTAAGGGCCCGGAGATCACGAGCATCCAGTAGAGTTTTACGGCCTTGACCCTTACGCACAGCGATTGTTCCAGATACTCTAAATCTTTTGATGATGTTATGCACGGTTGATGATGATAACTTAAAAGTCTTTGCTATTTTACGCTGGGTAACACCATTCTGGTATTGCTGCACTATCTTTCTGCGCAACAATGGTGGAATTGGTGATCCTCTTACCATCTTGGCTTCTGAGAGACACTGACACTATGAGAAGCTCTTTTTATACCCAATCATGTTGTCACTGGACCTAATTAGTGTTAATTGGTCTTCCAGCTGTTCGTTATATGCTCAATTTCCTTTTTCCAGCCACTTATTGCTACTTGTCCCAACTTTTTTGGGATTTGTTGACACTGTGAAATTTTGAATCAACATATTTTTCCTTTAAAATGTTACATTTACTCAGATTAAACTTTTGATCTATCATCTATGTTATATTACGATTAAAATATTGACATTTGCCATCTCCACATCATTGCATTCAGTTTTTATTCACAATTTGTTATATATATACATATATATATATATATATATATATATACACACACACACACACTTAAGATACTGTTCATCTGCTGTACATGTTCTTATTTAGGCCTGGCACTTTGTTTTGTCCTCCATTTCTTCACATCCTTGTTCTTAAAGCACACTGTGTTTTCACGTTATGTTCTCACAGTCAGGCACAAGGACTGGTCAGAAAACGTAAAAACAAACTAAAAAATAACCTCAGCCAAAATCTAAAGAGAAACATCAGAAAGATCATCGGACAATCTGGAGAATTATTGATCATGATCTATCTAACCATAATCAATTATGAATCATGATCATGTTTAAAGATTACAAGAAAGTCTGGCTCTTTGAAATCAAAATTTAAATAAATAACTAGGTTTAAAATATTTGTAAAGTACTGTAACGTCTTCCAGACTATTAAGGGCAGAAGTAGTGTCTCCAATAATCACGGAAATTGCAGATAATCTTGTTGTCACTGTGTCTGTTTACATCAGAGCGATCGATAAGACATGTCAGACAAATGAAAACAATAAAAAAAGAAAAGTCCATTAGTTGGAGTAGAATGGACAAACTCTGCTTCTTGTAATAATAGATAATAAAGTGATGGTCATGCTTGCTCAAGATGAGAGTCTGTGATGAAGTTCAAGTTAAAGCAGTCTGCTCCTCAGATAAATAATAACTTGTTATTTTTATATATGAATGTTTCTGTTCAGTGCCCTGCGACGACTTCTGTTGCGACTTGGTTTATATAAATAAACTGAATTGAACTGAAATTGATGTGAGCAAAGCTAAAACAGTTTAAAATCAAAGTGGTCCTCAGACTGCTTCATACACACTGAAGCTCTTCAGGACTGAGTTTGACCGAGTGTTGGTGCTTTGGAGGTGTTGGGTCATGTTATGAAACTTCAGGTGCCGTCTTCATTAAACAGCTTCTTGTTTAGCCTAACAAGCCTGAGAGCTGATAAATTCACCAGAGTACCCTCGCCTCGAGGCGTTGCTGTGTCCTTTAAGAGGCAGGAGTCCTGAGTTTGTGCTCGTGTTAAGAGAAACCACAGTGAATTTGCTGATAACTCATGAAAATGAAGCAGACATGAAATTGTGTTCATCATAAGCAGAAGTCAGATGTGATCGTTGAAACAAACTGCAGGGCTTTCACCGCAGCCTCGGCAGGAACAGAGCTCTCATGTTTCTGTTGCATCTAATATGCATTTGAAACTTTGATGTTTTTGCAGTAATTTACATTCAAGTTTTTTTAGTTATAATACAAGATGACCCACCCTCAAAATTTTAATGAAAAAGAACAAAGATGAGCAATTTTCAAGTATCTGTAACAAATAATCAGCAACTACGTGTCACGAGTTTTATTAGGCCGTTGCTCCTTAATCATAAGCAACTTTCTGCACAGCTGTTGTTTTATTTTGGTTTTAATAAGTCGTGGTAACACACACCGCTGCCTGAAGGCTGACACTTCTACACTGAACACGTTCGTCTCCATCCAGACTGTCATGCTGTGCCACGTGTCACTCCTCTCTGTGATCCACCTCTGTCTTGATTTTACAGATCTCCTTTGAGTTCCGCTCCCTGCTCCACTCCCAGTTATCCAGCATGTTCTTCGATGAAGTCGTAAAGCAGAACGTCGCTGCGTTCGAGCGGCGAGCCTGCAAGTTGTACGGCCCAGAGACTCGAATCCCACGAGAGCTGATGTTTCACGAGGTTCATCAGACATGATCTTGGCGACCGCACGTCATCGTCTGGCCTTAAACCAACGTCTGTCCGCTCCATACACTCAGACCTGCATGTTGCAGCTTAGCCCCCCCCCCCCCCATCGACTCCTCCCTGCTGCAGACACACAAGGGACGTCTGCACCACAATGTTCAAATTCCTGCCTTCTCTCGTTCAGTCCGTCTACCTCCAGTTTAGTTATTACTCGTGCTCCACGGTGGTTCCACAGTAAACCATGACATCATATTACACGTGTAATATCGATTGTTGTTTTTTACATACGGGGGCTCTCGGAGCCGGACCTGTGCTCAGGTTTTCTGGCTGCAGGGCTCCCTCACCCATCAGCATGCTGCAACCAACAAACACACGTTTTGTTTGCCTTGCACCGTTTGTTCCTGCTTCAAGTGGACATTTTAATCTACCGTACGTCCAAATGTCGAGCTGCCGCAGCAAAGTTCTTCAACCTTTTAATTTATTTAGCAGTGAGTAGAAGGAGAGTGTGGGCTTGTTAGAGGTGCCATGTTTTGGGATGTTTGTGGTCACTGTGACAGTATTAGTTATTTCAAAAGGATAAAAGTAATTCTTTCTCCAACTGCATTCTGTCTTGACCAGAGAAACGTTGCTTTAACTCAGCTGCTGTGACGATTGTATTTTTTTTAAAATAAGGCCTTATTTTACGTCCCACCCTCAAACTGTCAGTCAACGTGCACAAAATGCTTGAATCCAATTGTTGGATTGCTGGAGTGACTGTGAAAGTACTTCGAATCAGGAAAAATCAAACTGTTGCATATTATCTCAGAAAACTGCAACTTTATATTTGATATTTTATTTTATAGATTTGTGAAGCTAAAGGTAAAAGAAGCTGTTTCACGTGACTTCCACTGAAGCTTTTTTTAATTTAAATCTAAAATCACACACTGTAGAAGACAAATGTAGATTCCCTGAGCTGATATAATTTTGTGATCCATCCTCTGGAGGTGATCAGGACCACGATGTTTTTATTTAAAAGATGCTGGTGAGCTGTAGAATAAAACATGACAAATTATTTATTGTCTGACGATTCATTGCCTGATTTGGACTCTAGAGCTGTGGTTTAAAATTTTAAAACGTGCACACAACCAACAAAGAGCCAAACACTCATTATTTAGTTTGGAACTCTCAGAGCAGGACTTTTGTTTTGATGGGACATATTTCACATTTAATAAACACAATATTTATTCTTTAGGCTCAGCGTTAAACACGATACTTTAAAGCAGGGGTGCCCAAACTTTTTCTGTGAAAGGGCCAAAATCACTGCAGGAGGAGGATCTCAATCTAAAATCTATCATGTTATCAGGCTGTGGGCCAAATGCAACAATATAATACATGAAATGCAAATACTTGAAGTAAAGTCCATTTATTTATTATACAGTTCTTTAACCTTCCATTCTGTATAAAGAACATTAGAACAGGCTGTGTTGGGGGGGGGGGGTCCTCCCCCAGAGAATTTTTAATAAAGTAGATACCATTTCCTGCATTTTGGTGTATTTTACAAAAGTTTATTACAGTAGATTAACGTGAAACAAAAGATGTAAACTCTGTAATTGAAATCTCTGACTGCAAAGCTGCAGCTCTGCAGGTAAGGGGCGTTCACTTCAGGACAGATTGAGGTCACTGATTGGTCAGTTGCTGACGTGCCTACTGGACTGATTGACAGGTGGCGTGACTCGTGAAAAAAAAAAAATAGATTTTACTTGTCCATTTGAGACTGTTGTCATTTGTTCCATATTCAATATTTTGGTGAATCTAAGGTTTGAGAACTGAGCTTTACAAGATCCTAATGATGGATTCTTAATTTTTCAGGGGTGCCAAGTTAAAATGTAGGGTGTTTGAGCACCCCACAAAAGAGGCTAAAATTGCCGCTGAAGCCAGTTCATATTTATAATTTAGGCTATTTTTAAACGCTGTATGTGTGATTTATATGTGTTTTAGTGCAGGATCATTTCTTACCTTACGAGTTGTTTAGAATATCCCACTCCACGGTCAGGTGCGCCTCCTCCCTGCTCCGCACCGTGGGACAACAAGTGCTGCTCTAAGTTTTTGGCCGCACTTAGAAAAAACTGACTAATATTTAGCTCTTCACTGGTTTAGAAAGTAGTTGCTCTCAATCCTCCTGCTCAGTTCAGAAAAGTGTCCTGGTCGCTTCAACATCACGTCAAACACTGACTGCAGACAAAGAGCTGTATGAGCCGAGATCATCGTCTCTTGTATGCAGAACAGATAACTCCTGCAGTGATTCACACATCAGCTTGTTCACCAAAGCACAGGAACTTATGCGTAGTGCAAAACGTTTGATTATACTGTGTGTGTGTGTGTGTGTATATATTTTTTTTTAATTGCCCATGACTTTGAACTTTAATGGGCAGAGATTTTTTAAGACTAGAAGCAGAAATGCAAAGTGACAGCTCTGATGTGATGTTAGGAAGCTCAAAATGAGTGTTTATGTAATTATTTTCAGTTTACATATCCAGAATAGGTTTCATTCGTTCAGTCGCTGCAGATGAACAGGTCTGTGCATGAGGTGCAAAATACAGTAACGATCTGAAGAAATTAATTCACGTCTATCTTGGAGAATGGGTCCTTGAGAGTATCCCTCATTGGTCATTTCAGTTAAACTTCTGGTCACATGATCACAGAGTGGGTGGAGTTATGGAAGGAAAATTGAAACCCTGAGCAGAAGTTTGGTACATGTGATGATCTGAGGCTTCACTCTGTAATGAGTGCTGGACAGCTGCATGAATCCCAGCATTAACAAAGGAAAATGTATTTCAATGACAGGAAGCTGTATGAAGATTGTCAAAATAAAGTATAGATTAATAAACTTAAAAAAAAATAATGCAGAAGTTGGTTACTCCGGCTGTGTAGTGTCGTTATGTTAGTCATTGGGTGAACTTTCCATTTAACATTAAAGTCAGAATGAATGAGTTGACACATTGATTCTTGATAGGACATTTTTTAGGACACTCATTCATTGTTGTAGTGGTCACGTAGGTACGTGCCACTAGTTGTAGTATGACAATATATGAGATATATATGCATACAATATTCACGAGTTCCTCATCTTTCTGGCTGTGTAATGTCGTGCATTGAATTTAACAGAAATGTAACGAGAGACGTTATTTATCTTTGACCCATCAAAATGAATGCGGTCATTTATTTTCAGAATCAAAGTTTAACATCAAACATTTACATTAATTTGGCAAAATATGAAAATAATAACAGACAAGTTTCACAGAAAATGAGCATCGATCACTCGGCGGTGATCAAGGACTTTGCTTCAGATATTCCTAAGATATCTGTACTGATTTTATGAGAAAGAGGAGAGTTTTAAGATGAAATGGAGATTTATCTTACAGAGAAATATGTGAGGGAATTAATCTGTTTGACCAGAAATTGCACGCTCCATCAGATATCAGCTTGCCCACGGTACACTTGGTCGAAAATAGAACCATCTACCTTGATGATGAAATCAGCGTCGGCGTAGGTTCCTTTCTGACTCTTTTCAGCGTCTCCGTGAGAACTACCAAACCCTCAGAGAGTCGTACGTGGTTTTCAAACAGAAATTATAATCCCAAAACGTCTCTGGATCATCCTGAATGCGTTTGCACCCAAGAACTCTGAACTCCTTTCATTCTTCAGAACTTCTCAGACTCTTAATTGTCAGCAACTCTGCCAGAACCGGGAAGTTGCCACATTTTTAATGGGTCGACTTCCGGGTCATTTGAGAGCTTTTTGATTGGTCGATGGACCAGAAATAGAGGTGTGGTTTGTGATGTAAGATGTTATCATAAGTCAAGGATTGTTTTCAACATACAGAAAAGATTATTGCAGACGACCAGACTTCGTGGAGTCTTACGCTGTTGTATCTTCTCAAATAGTAAAACATGACATTTCTTCTCAGTAAACATTTTAGTTGACCGAAAACCGACCTTTAACATACTTACATTACTTGGCTCATTTCAGACAGAGAATCAAGAAATGCATATTAACCTGATTTCTTCTTTGAATGAGGAATAAAAATCATTACTTACTGCTTATGTAAAATAAAAATGAGTAGTTCTTTCCAACCTGTAAGCATTGAATGGAACTAACACAATTTGATTATCAAACATTTGTAAAACAGTAATGATTATAGAGAATTGTCTTTTCTGCTTGATTAATTCAAGAAAGAAAGTCACCAGATGGCTCAGACTGTATTCAGATCAATGAAAATAACAGTCTCTGTCCATCTGATAGATTTGAGGTCATCAGGGTCAGATCAGGGTCAGATCAGGTTCACTACATTGTTTTGTACTCTTAGTATGTAGTACGCTCAACTACTACCACATCAAAATTTAGCACAATGTCCATAATACTGTAAAAATCAAATGGCTGAGCTGCAGCCATGTTGGAGTTTAACTTTTGTGATGGGATGAAAAGCATCTTTAGTGTTTGAGTTAAATTTGACCCCTCGGCTCAGAATAATCCTAAAACAATAAATTTCCAATTTATCAAAGTTCATGCTCAATAATCCAGGTAAAGAAATCCAACATAGTTCAGTCAGGTCATCTGGATGTTTTCTTTTTGTTGAGACATTTCGTCCTTTATCCAAAGGACTTCATCAGTCTGAGGAGCCACAAACTCAGTCCCACAAGCAGCAAACCGACAGAGTGGACCAACCAGCTTACTGGTGATAAGATGGTTTCTGGGGACTTGACTGAACTATGTTGGATCTTCTACCTGGATTATTGAGCATGGACTTTGACGTTTTGAACCACATCAGCCATGGCTGCCTCAGAGGAGTCGATAGGGGAGAGGGCAGGCCCCAGAAACCATCTTGTCACCATCAAACTGGTTGACCCACAATGTGGGTGTGCTGTTTGTGGGACTGAGTTTGTTTGTGGCTCCTCGGACTGATGAAGTTTTTTAATTTTTTTTATTCTACCTTTATACAGAAAAATCACATTGAGCCTAGAAGACTCATTTACAAGTGAGACCTGTTTGGACAAACAAAAAGAAGTGAAAGTGACACGTAGGATTTCGAGGCAAAAAAATTCCTATCAAACTTTCTTCTTGGCTGAGAAGAAAGACCCTGATGATGAAAAAAACACCGCGCACATAGAAGCACATGACGTAGACATTCTGCAGAGGGGGAGATGACGACAAGGGTCCTTTGGATGAAGGACAAAACGTTTCAACAAAAAAAGTAACCGTCCAGATGACCTGGCTGAACTCTGTTGGAATATCTAATATAGTTTTAATCTCCTAGCTAACGTTGATATTTATGTAAACACTATTTGTTTCATTCTTTGGCCTCGTAAACCTTTTCTTCTCACAGTATGCCCCTGGTGTTCAACAAAAAAACTGTTTAAATTCACTCGTTATGTCCTAAAACCATCTGGTTCCCCCTCGACTACTAAAGGAGGTTCTTCCTACTCTGGGCCCTTCTGTTCTTGCTATTGTGAATAGCAGTTTATCCTTAGGGGTGGTGCCAAAATTCTTTAAACATGCTGCTGTTCAACCTCTGCTGAAAAAGCCTAACCTTGACCCCTCAATCGTGTCCAACTTCCGGCCTGTCTCCAGACTCCCATTTGTTTCTAAACTACTAGAAAAAATAGTGAGTCCCAGTTGAAGTGCTTCCTAAAATGAATGTTTTTAACAACATCTTCCTATCCACAAACACCGGTGATCCTGTGCTGCTTGTCCTATTGGAACTTGCATCCGCTTTTGACACCATCGACCATGAGATCCTCATTTCTAGGTTGGAGCAGTGGGTGGGCATCAGGGGGTCAGCCCTCAAGTGGTTCAGATCCTACCTCGCTGATAGATCCTTTTGTGTCTCCATCAAAGATTTTAGTTCAGCAGCGCTTAAATGGGGGGTACCACAGGGGTTCATCCTCGATCCCCTTCTATTTTCTTTATACCTGCTGCCACTTGGTGCTATTTTCTGGAAACACAACATACCCTTTCACTTCTACACCGATGACTGTCAAATTTACTTCCCCCTAAGACACAATGGTACATGCTCTATTCACCCTCTGCTTGACTGCCTGGCTGACATCAGGGACTGGATGGCTTTAAATTTCTTAAATTTAAATGAGAAGAAGTCTCAAGTCATGTTGTTCCCTCCCAATGACACAATCATCAACCACTGCATCGACCTTTCCGCTCTAGCCCCATTGGAGAAACAAAGAGTCACTAATCTGTGAGTGATAATGGACCCTTCCTTGAAACTTAACAATCATGTAAACATGATTGTTAAATCATGCTTCTTCTAGCTGAGGCGGCTGTCTAAACTGAAGCCCATATTGTCCAAAAATAACCTGGAGACAGTAATACATGCATTCATAACATCCAGGCTCTATTACTGCAACTCGCTCCTGTTTGGTATCAGTCAGACCTCCATTGCACGACTACAACTGGTCCAGAATGCAGCAGCCCAATTTTTAACCAGTACAGGCAAAAGAGAACACATTACACCAGTTTTGGCCTCACTGCACTGGTTACCGGTTCACTTTTGTATCCAGTTCAAAATACTCCTGTATGTCAATAAATCACTGAACAGCTCTGCACCCTCCTATCTCTCTGATTTGCTACAACCGTATGTCCCACCACGTTCTCTGAGGTCAGTGGACCAGTTGCTCCTCACAGTTCCAGGAACTCGTCTTAAGTGCAGAGGTGGCAGGGCCTTCTCTGTAGCAGGACCAAGACTTTGGAACGAGTTCTGCTTGTCAGACAGGCCCCCTCCCTCACAGTTTTTTAAATCCCCCTTAACAACCCACTACTATTCCCTGGCTTTCAACACTGTACGATTTGTGTTGATCCTGTATGCATCACACTGTGTTAGTCATTATGTTATTTGCTATTATTTTGTTTCTATATTTTGATTTTACATTGTTATGTGTTGCTGTGTGCTTTGCCTGTTTGTTTCTGTTTGTACAGCACTTTGGTTGGTCCCGTCACTGTTTGAAATGCTTTATAAATAAAATGGTATGGTAAAATGAAGTTAATAGTCCTCTATTATCTGAGTTGAATATTTGAACACAATCAAAAAACGGCTTTAAAAAAAGAAAACTTAACATTAACTATTGTGACAACAAAGTCCATGATCAATAATCCAGGTATACAATCCAACATTTTTCAGTCGATCCGGAAGACTTCATCAGTCAAGGAAACACACAACAAAACTGATTCTTCCCCCAACAGCTTATGGTTTGTACAACTTATCGTTTTCAACCAGTTTGACATGACTGTCAACAAGGAAGAGGGTTGGCAATGGAGGAGGGGGCGTGACAAAGAGGCCAGCTTAGCACCAACATAACTGGTTTGTTCCACTTTGGAGTAAGCAAGCTGTTGGGGGAAGAATCAGTTTTGTGTTGTGCGTTTCCTTGACTGATGAAGCCTTCTGGATCGAAGGTGAAACGTTTCAGCACAAAAAAAAAGAAACTGTCCAGATGACCTGACTGAAAAGTGTTGGATTAAATATTGTGACTAACTGACCTGTAAACATCTGTTGGAGGAAAAAGTCCTTTTTTTGTTCTAAAAATATATTTTACTATGAATAAGTACAATTTGCAAATACTAAACCTTAAACACTGAAAACCAGTATGGGGTGTGTGTGTTGTGTGTGGGGGGGGGGGGGGGGGACATGCTTGAGTCAGTGTATGGGATTGTTCTGGTGGACTTCTTGCTTGCAGGAGTCTCATGCCTGTGCCAGCTGTTGCTGGTTTCTACATCCTGGTTGGAAAGGCAGGACTAGCATCCCCCCCCCCACCCCCCAGCCAGCACGGTCCCTCCTGCAGGATGCTGGTGCGCTTCTTTTGTCCTACGACTGCCAAACACCTCCCCCAGTCAGGTTTATTACAAGCAGGAACTCCTCAAAAAATAGTGAACAGCTCTGATGTTTTGAGCACATTAGTCCTGGTGAGTCTGACGCTGTTGGTCTTCATGACCATGAAATGTTACCTGATCTGGATCTGAAGACCTCATTTTAAACATCCGTCTCGCTCGTCATCACATACATCTTCCTCAGTTCTGTCTTCAGACTCGGTCATGACCAAAATGATCGATAAGGCTTGAGAGAACTTCCTGCTCACGCTGACTGAAAGTCAGAACGCACACGAGTCATTTACAGAAGTCTGAGTCAAATGTATCGATATTCTGCAAGAAAGTTGGTGCTCGGTCCTGTGGCGTCGGTGGTGGGAGGACGGAGCATATCTGAGCAGGAACACCACAAACACCACGTTTTAAATTTGATTCACTTTCAGAATTGACTAAAATAAAAATTCTTGTGTTAAAATTGTTCTGATGTCATGAAGTCTTGCTCCATTAAAAAGCTAATTGTTTTTACATACCTGCACTAAAAAGGGTCAGTTTGACCTGAACACAAGGGTGAATGTTGCTCAGCTGTGGCGGCCATCTTGAATAAGACTGACTTCAAAAGCTTATCAGTTGTAAATGATCACCCAAATGATTCCTTTAAACTAGTTGTATTTTAAAGTTTAAAGAGAAAACAGGTGCCACTTGTTTTTACAAATGTTGTACAGTGTACTTCATTTATATGGTTTCCATCAACTACCCATAATGCCTCACCACCACCATCAGCAGATACTGACGTCCTTTCAGGACCGAGGTTTCTTTGTTGCAGCAGTGGAGAGGGACACAGCTGACCAGCCCGAAACCAGAGTGGGGCCGAGGAATGTGGGACAGTTATTAATAACGGTGCATGTGAGCGGTGCAGATCTTTTCAGGACCAGGACGATCCAGAACTTAATAAAGCACCAAACTTTATAAGAAAATGCAGCAAGCGATCCAAGGTCCTGTCTTGAGTTTTACAATAAAAAAACCCACAGGATTTCATGAATTAATGTGTCTGAAGCTGTACGTTTCCAAAGAATTCATCTTTATTTAAACAAAAGCATTGTTTTAGGTTTCTGTCGTGATGTAGGAAACATGACAGAGCCCTGATTAGAGACATGAGACTGACCTCGGAGTAAGATGACGATTACAATTAAAATAAACTTCAATCAAAAGAAAAATGCCAAAACAATTGTTAATAAAAACCTTTTATTCTTCAGTTTGTTGGGTTTAGCAATGACTTCTCTTTAAGCTTCCCTTGCCCACTTGACCCATCCAGCTCTATCCCCCAAGTGTCTCTTCTAAGAAACCATCTGCATTTAATTTCCTCCGTTACATACGACCTTTATGACCCTCTACGATCAAAATAACCCTCTTCATCAACCACCAGACACATGGAAGAACGCAGCAAAACACTGATGCTTATAAACCCTGAAAATAAAAGAGTATCGTACGACACAAAGAAGCAAACATTTGTGTGAACTACTCGCTACCACGGCGAAAGATTTGTTCGGGGGAGAAACAAACACAAATAATGCCAGAACATAAACTTCACAGACATGGAGTGTAGAGCCCAGAACCCAAGAGCAAGCTTGAACATTCGAGAGAAATAAGAAACAGCACCAGCTAAGCTCAGAGACCGTATGTACAAGAAGCTGCAGTTTTCTGTTTGTTCTTCAGTCTGAACATCACAGACTGGACACATCGTTGGTAAACTGTGGTACTCGCTGTGGTTTTTACACGTACAGAGCGCATACATTCAAGCTATACATATATATATATACCTATGTACACAAATTATAAATCCATCCACCCAGCTTTACCGCTTCAAATTATAAATAAAACCACGAGAACCCCAAAACGGAAGTATTTTTTACTAATTGAAACTGAACATCTTTGTAGACCAGTACACAGTCAGTCTAGAAAAGTTAAACGAGGAATCCAATTAAGCAAGTGCTCATTCTGGAGTAATGATGTCTAAAGCGCTTTCCTGTGGAGATGAACTCCCCGACTAAAACACGACGAGGACAACTACGGAGCCTCCTCTGACACTTTTTATTCAAGCTTGCTCTTAAAGATTCACAGCGGGCTGCCAATTACAACACCTTGTACTCAAATGTAACTTACTGTTCACTATTCGTCATTTCCTACGATTCTTAAGACCCTTAAAGCAGAGCGTCTTTAAAATTAGAACAGCTAAAGAAAAAAAACAAGTTATTTTGATCATAGAAGTAATCACGGTCTCTTAAAACAAGAAAAAATTACAAGTGGAGGAGAAAGAAGAGATTAAAGATTTAAAGGGGCAGCATCTTTTAACTGACTCATAATATGGATTTATTTTTTTACTGTGTTACTGTGTCCTGTTAGTTTTGGAAACGGAGTGTTCATATGTGGGAGTCAATCAGGATGGGATGAAATAATTGCATAGAAGAAAAATAAAGTCCATTTTTATTAGGCGCTCGTTTACTAACAGGAAAAACAACTGGAATTAGCCTGAAGCTGAAAATATTGAACGATGTGTGGAAGCCAATCATTAAACAAATATTTAGGATGTGTGGTTCCTCCACACGAGTCATAGCTCAGTCTCTGCACTCAGTGAGAAGCACGCAGGCAGTGCTCAGGGGAAACCTTAGAGATGCTCGTGCACTTGGATCGAACATGGTTTGAGCCTAATTGAAGTTACATGTATGAAGTTTGAACCCTTCATGTTCCAAAGACGTCTAAACATGATGGGACAACTCTTCTGCGGTTACCTAAACACACGTCAACACTACAGCTGGGACATTTAAAAGGTCCTTCTTTTGTGAAATAACATTAAAAGTGTACTGTCTCTTTGAATCCCATTCAATCCCTGGGCTTGGGAACAAGAGGGTCAGATGATGTCTGCTTTGCATTTTCTCCACATCCTCTCACCCGTCACGCAAACCCCCAGCTCCTTGGAGGAGGCGCTTCAGCCAGACTTGGCTCCGACCAGCGTCATCAGTCCGTCTGTGCTCATGGATTTGGGGCGCTCCAGTGGGAATCCCAGAGCTCTGCTCCACACCAGCTGAGCGAGAACGCCGAGAGCACGAGACACGCCGAAGAGGACGGTGTAGTAGTTCATCTCTGTCATTCCATAGTACTGTACACAAGGTGGAGACACAGTCAGGGCTGAGCACGTCTGTTCCTGCACGACCAACGGCTTGAAATCACGCAGCTCACCTGCAGCAGCACTCCACTGTGGGCGTCCACGTTGGGCCAGGGGTTCTTGGCTTTACCCTGCTCCAGGAGCACGTTCGGGACAATCTTGTAAAGCTGGGCAACCAACTTAAACATGGGGTCATTGGGCAGATGCTTCAGAGCAAACTCGCGCTGGCAGGTATAGCGTGGGTCGGTCTTCCTCAGGACAGCATGGCCGTAGCCTGGAACCACCTGCAGCCAGGACAGCAAACACGTCTTTATATGAATACGTCCTTTATACCAACGTGTCTTTGTACACTGCTAAAAATGCTACATTTATGGCTGTTTGAAACATTAAGGGCTTATAAACAGTGATAATAGTAATGGAAATGGCTTATTGTTATTTACTGAATGTCAGAGCAAAACAACCTCATGATGACGACCACAGCTGTGAATGTGCTGCGTCCTTACCCTTCCAGACTTCAGCGTGTTCCAGATATAATCCCTCATCCTTTCATCAGACACCTCTCCTCCCAGCTCCTTCTGCAGGGCAGTCAGCCACACCAGCACTTCCTGTACGATACCACATCAAGTTTTCATTGAAAACGCAGCACAGTAAAAACAAGTTTAGCTAACGCTGCTGAGGACATTCAGTGTAGCTGCCCAGAAATTCAAATGTCACAAGTGTTTCTGAAAACAGGACGTTTAGCTGTCAGCTGAACTGATGAGCTCCGTTTGAGGACAAATAAGGACACCAAGAATAAAAACGTGAAGGACTCAGAGTTTAATGATTTAAGGCAAAATGAGATAATGTTGAAAACTATGCTTTTGGAGATCGAGTAATCAAAAGCTAAATCAACACAAAGATCTATGATAGAAGTTTTGTAATAACTTCATACTCCATCATAGGTTTTGATGAAGCTAATTCTTTAAGCACACGAACTTACTACACATCAATAAGTTCTCAACGTTCTTCACAGTTCAGGTTCACCACAGAAGAATTATGAAAGCTCTTAACGCTTTAGACAACAATTCGTGTGGGTTTGAGACTTTTATTGTGAAGGACTGAAGGAAGTTCAACGAGTCCTGCTGCTGCAGGAGAAATAAACTTTACTCAAGACAAGTCTTAAACTGTTTTCTCTCAACATTTCAACTTTACACTGAAATTCTACTGACTTTTCCCCCCCAGTGGAACTGTACTTACAAAACATTTTGATCTACACGCTGATACTCTGAAGTGAACAAAACTCCTCATGCACTGCCCTTTTCTTCTAAGTGTCCCTAATGCGCTGCTATAGTTTGACTGTATTCACTGTGACATACAGTGAGGAAAATAAGTATTTGAACACCCTGTGACTTTGCAAGTTCTCCCACTTAGAAATCATGGAGGGGTTTGAAATCTTCATCTTAGGTTCATGTCCACCGTGAGAGACATGATCTAAAAAAACAAACAAACATTTTTTTTAAAATCCAGAAACCACAATGTATGATTTTGAAAATAATTTATTTGTGTGTTACTGCTGCAAATAAGTATTTGAACACCTGTCAATCAGCAACAATTCTTGCCCTCAAACACCTGTTAGTCCACCTCCACTTAGTATTCTAAATAAGAAGCACCTGTTCAAGGTCGATAGCTGCATTTAACGACCTTGATATATGCATATATGAATTTGGAGGTTGTTAGGTTGATTACATGAATACGTAGGCATTCTTACTGTATTTTGATTGATAAATTGTATGTATTTTATTTTTTCTTCTTCTTTCGGCTGCTCCCTGCGTTAGGGGTCACCACAGCGAACAACAGTGAAGACTTGGCAGTTATTTTTTACGCCGCATGTCCTTCCTGACGCAACCACAGACACCGAGCTACCACAGCCCTCTGTGTGGAGCAGAGAGCTGCTGTCTAGGACACCCGGAGGAGCAGATGGTGGGGGTTAAGGGCCTTGCTCAAGGGCCCAGAGTGGGACGAATGAGGGTGGAGGCAGGTGTGGGCGCTTCACCTACCCCACCCACATTTTTGATGTTGTCGGTATCGGGGCTTGAACCGGCGATCTTCCGATCACAGGCCCACCTTCTCGAACCTCTGCGCCACCACTCCCCTTATTTTAATGCATAGAAATGCCCAACCAGGGACTGGAGTTGTGAATTAGCTATAGCTATAAACTCTTTGTGCAACGCATCAGTCACAGACTTGTTCTGTTCTACGTTTGTGTGCACTGTCCCTGTCAAATTAACTAACTAACACAAAGACACCTGTCCACCCCACACAATCAGTAAGACTCCAACTACTAACATGGCTAAGACCAAAGATCTGTCCAAAGACACCAGAGACAAAATTGTAGACCTCCACAAGTCTGGAAAAAGCTACGGGGCAATTTCCAAGCAGCTTGGTGAAAAAGATCAACTGTTGGAGCACTTATTAGAAATTGGAAGAAGCTAAACATGACTGTCAATCTTCCTCCGACTGGGGCTCCATGCAAGATCTCACCTCGTGGCGTATCAATGATCCTAAGAAAGGTGAGGAATCAGCCCAGAACTACACGGGAGGAGGTGGTCCATGAACTGAAGAGAGCTGGCACCACTGTTTCCAAGGTTACTGTGGGTAATACACCAAGACGTCATAGTTTAAAATCACGCATGGCACAGAAGGTTCCCCTGCTTAAATCAGCACACGTCCAGGCCCGTGTTAAGTTTGCCCATGACCATTTGGATGATCCAGAGGAGTCATGGGAGAAAGTTCTGTGGTCAGATGAGACCAAAATAGAATTTTTTTGGTCTTAATTCCACTCGACGTGTTTGGAGGACAAAGAATAAGGAGTACCATCCCAAAAACACCATCCCTACTGTGAAGCATGGGGGTGGAAGCATCATGCTTTGGAGTGTTTTTCTGCACATGGGACAGGACGACTGCACTGTATTAAGGAGAGGATGACCGGGGCCATGTATTGTGAGATGTTGGGGAACAACCTCCTTCCCTCAGTCAGAGCATTGAAGATGAGTCATGGCTGGGTCTTTCAACATGAGAATGACCCGAAGCACACAGCCAGGAGAACCAAGGAGTGGCTCCGTAAGAAGCATATCAAGATTCTAGAGTGACCTAACCAGTCTCCAGATCTAAACCCTATAGAAAATATTTGGAGGGAGCTCAAACTCCGTGTTTCTCAGCAACAGCCCAGAAACCTGGCTGAGCTAGAGAAGATCTGTGGAGGAATGGACCAAAATCTCTGCTGCAGTGAACCTGGTGAAATACTACAGGAAACCTTTGACCTCTGTAACTACAAACAAAGGCTACTGTACCAAATATTAACACTGATTTTCACAGGTGTTCAAATACTTATTTGCAGCAGTAACACAAATAAATAATTTTAAAAAGCTTACATTGTGATTTCCGGATTTTTATTTCTTTAGATTATGTCTCTCACAGTGGACATGCACCTAAGATGAACGTTTCAGACCCCTCCATGATTTCTAAGTGGGAGAACTTGCAAAGTCGCAGGGTGTTCAAATACTTATTTTCCTCACTGCAACTCCAATTCTATTTTTCTTTTTTTACATTTTAGAGAGAACACGACCCAGTCTATTTCCTATAACAAGAAAAAAAAAAAAGGTGCAAAAAAACATAATTGTTGCAATATATCCAGAAAAAACAAAAACACAAAACATTTATTTGGAGAATTAAAATCCATCTTCTTAAAGGTCTTGTACAATAAGCATACAAGGAAGTTATTAGTTAATTCTGATTCACTAATAATTGACATCGATATCTGGCTGAGAAGCTGTGGACAAACCTGATTGGCCAGGCCGTGCAGAGGACCAGCCAGACCATTCATGGCAGCACTGAAGGACAGGTAGGGGTCGGACAGGGCACTCCCCACCAGGTGACTGGTGTGGGCACTGACGTTGCCTCCTTCATGATCACTACAATATTATAGAAGAGAAACAAAACTTTTTAGACAATAATCACCAATCAAACACAGTAGCTTAGCTTTTATTCTAACTCCCTGCAACAAGTCTAAAATGTCCAGTTCTTTGGTGCTTACACTAATAAGTACAAAGTTGTGCTGGACACTGAAGAAATGTCTCGTTTTAAACTCTGTGAACATGATTGTGCTTTTAGTGAATCAATATTTGACCAAGTTCAATGTGACATAAATGAACAATCATTATGTTGGTTCTGCTGTGTTACTTTCACTGTGATCATCGTACTGGACTCAAAGCATTATGGGAAAAAATGGTCAGAGGACACAAATTTAAGAAAATAAATCATGGGAGCGTCGACGTGTAAGAAGCATCAACGGTGGCTCTCCTGGGATGTGAAATTTTATCCTTTTTTTGCATGACTTTTTGAAACTTCTTCGACACCTATGGTTAATATGAACTTCCTGGAGTCACCTGGGCCTAATTCAGTATTGTAAACTCCTGGAACCATGGCAAGCCGAGGGAACTCCGTCGCCTCCAAGGTAGGCCACAGTGGACTCTGCGGGCCCCGAGCATCCAAAGCCAATTCCAACCCCGATGCTAATAAATGTTTGCTGGCACACATGAAGGCGTTGCTGGAGGGACTGCGCTCCAACCTCCTGAGTACATTTGACAAAATGGTGGCTAGAAGAGTGGAGAGAAATCATGTCTGCCCTCGCCTCGCTGGAAGCTGAAGTCGTGACGCATGGACTGATTATTGCTGATCTTGAACACGTAGCTAATGAGCAGAGCGACAGGCTAACTAGCTTGGAAGCTAAAGTAGCTTTGCTCATGGGCATGATGGACTCTTTGTCAAAGAAATGTGAGGACCTGGAAGGGCGCTCTAGAATGAATAATGTATGAGTGATTGGTGTCCCCGAGGGATCCGAGGGCGCCCAACCGATGGAGTTCATAGCCACTTTATTACAGAAGTTGTTGGGACCGAAAAAAAGAACAATATTGGACCGGGCCCATAGAATCCTTTGGCCAAGACCTGTTGATGGGGAATTGCCACGTCCATTCGTCGTTAGAGTAAACATGCTCCAGCAACGTAACGAGATTTTGAGAAGAGCTGAGGAGAGATCTTCCCAGATTTTACCACCGCTGTGGCGAAGAAACGTGCATCCTTTATTGGAGTCAAGAAGGAGCTGCACTCCTGCCTGGATGTTAAATTTGGCCTTTTATACCCAGCCATTCTGCGAATAACTTTGCCAGATGGACAGGTTTGGAAATTTGAGGAGGCGTCCGATGCCATGGACTTTGTGGAGAAGAAACTGAAGAAAAAAAACGGAGTCCCAGAGTCTGTTTAAGAACTGGTTTGTAATGGTGGGACTCATGACTGCCAGACTTGTTTTTGTTTTGTACTGGGGCTAGTGTGTACTGTGGACTTCTTAGTCAGAGATGACTTTACATCTCCTCACTGTGGTCCTATAACAATAACGCTATTATACTGTTAAAATGTTAGAGGACTGGTAGCCATGGTTGTTTTTTCCTTTTAACATGGTGACTCTTTGTTAAGAAAAAAGTAAAAAGGGTGTCTTTACTTTGTTGTAATACTGTTGAGATACAATCTTTCAAATTACTATTTATCACATTCCACATGGAGAGTTTTTTGCTTTTTGTAGTATTTAGACTTCTTTTAGGGCCTTTTGAAGGTCACGTTATGGGTGTTTTTGCTTGGGATGGGGGGTTTCGCACATCACGTTTGGGGGGATGCTTCTGCGAAGTGTTCAGTGTGTTTTTTGGGTGGGGGGGGGGGGGGGGGGGTTCATGTTGGTTTTTAAGTTGCAGCACCTTCATCTCCCTTTTGTACTTTGTTCTTTACCCGCCTTATTTGTCAACTCAATGTTCAGATTGCTTGTTACCTTTTTAATTCTGTTGTGTCTCCATTTCTGATGTGTGTGTGTGTGTGTGTG